GCTCTCAGAGTCACCTGCAAAATTAAATGGTGAAGTCAGATTATTGTTCTTATTTGAAGATAATTCATCATACCTGAAATCTGTCGGACAGACTGTTGCAACAATTCTCTCGGTTCTGCTCATCGAAGTAGTACCACTGAATGCCATAAAGTTTGTGGTTTGATCTTCGTTGTTGTTCTCATCATCATCACTCTCCTCTTTATCACTCCAAACAGTGGTGAGTGACATCTTCTTTTTCTTCAAAGTGTTCGCACACTCGGCCTGAATATGTCCAAAACCCCCATACTCTAGAAATTGCATTCTCCTAGACTTTGCATCATCAGAATAACCATTATTAGAAAAGTTTTTAATTTTTTTAGGGTTAACATACTTACCTAATTGAGAGGAACTTCCTCTATTTTCAATTTTTTGACGCAGGCTTTCGAGGTTATTTGACATAATTGCTAAGGATTGTTCAACATCAATGTCATACTCATTAAATGTTTGGCCTTGTGAGATGCCATGGGAAGCTTCAGCCTCGAATGCCACATTCTTCACCTTTTTCTTTTCTCGAATATTTGCTCTAAAATTCATTTCTTGGGTTTGGAGTTTACCATGAGTTCATTTAGCTTTAGCGTATTGATATCCCTCACTCCTTCAATTGTTGTAACTCTGTAAGCGAATCTTTCTGGTAATGAACGTAGTGCCTTTCTTACCAACTTTGTTTTCGAGTATTGTTCACCTAGTGCATACGATTCATTTGAAATATCACACAGTTTAGCGTGAAAATCAGCAATCGTCTCGTCCTCCTCCATATGAAGACTCTCAAATTTTGTGGCTAACATCTGCAGTTTAGATGTTTTAACAGTTGATGTGCCTTCATATGTCACTTGTAGGATCTCCCATGCCCTTTTTGCTTATTCACATGATGATATCAGTTTGAACTGATTGTCACCAACGCCACTGAAAATTGAGTTTATCGCCCTTCAGTTGTAATTGGCAAGTAATATCTCTTCATCAGTCCATGCTACTTCTGGTTTTACCGTTTGCATACCATCCGTTCCTTTAGCCCTGGGAGGGGTTCAACCAGTCATGATAGCACGCCAAGCTCGTTCATCAACGGACTTGATGAACATCTTCATCTTCGATTTCCAGTAAGAGTAATTTGATCCATGCAAGAGAGGTGGTCGTACTGTAGACGTTCCTTCACGAAGAAACATATCTGCACCAAATAAATAAATAAAATTAAATCCCAAAATCTCACTAAGTGTATCTAGTGACAGGCTCTGATGCCAATTGATAGAATTTATTTCGTGCAAATATTAATTATTTGTGTCAGATTCAGTTTTTCGTTACTGTTGCGTGAAGTGTTGCAACAGTTCGTGAAATAGTTTGTAAAAACAGAAATAAACGAGAGACAAATTTAATGTGGTTCGGATACAATTGTACCCTACATCCACGGGGACCTGCAAAAGAAATTTACTAATTTTCAGTTTTACGAATACAATAGTAGGACTTAATCAAAATACAAAGACTCATTCTTTGTTGTCGCCGTTCTTGTATACTACGCTGAATTATAAATCCTCAATTTGCAGCACGTCCTTTGCTCCGCACGGTTGAACTCCCTTCAACGTTGAATCCCTCAGTCGGCGGATCTATCTCCTCCCGAGATCTGTTTAAGCTCCTCTCCCGAAGAACCGATCTTATTTTTGTATAGAGGAAGCCAACTTGTGATAATCTTTGAATCTTGGTGTCTTCACCACAAAGCCTTGAAGCTAATATTTTTTTTTGTGAAAATCACGTATCACGATGGAGTAATAAAAACGAGAGAAAAAAATATTTTCTCTGAACTTCTCTCGATAAAAAGTCACAATCAGTAACGTGTCTTTGCTCCTCTTTTATAAGCCTGATAAAGAATCCTACAAGAGTCCAACATCAAATACGTATCAGGCTTATTAGGAATAAACCTTATCAAAAGATATTAAGTCCTAGTCAAACACTAATTTCCAAAAGATATTGTATTCTATTGAAATACAAATTATGTATAAACCAAAATAGCTAATTAATGAAAATAAATATATAAACCAATTAATGACAATTTAGCAAACCAAAACTTGGAAAATAAATATATTCTTCCCTTTTCTCATAATATACGGCTCTGTGTATGCTCAGGAATAATTTTTTTCTTTCCAAGTCACATGGTATTAAGGAATCCCAATTTCTTAGAATTCTCCATGGTTTCTCTTAAGTAGAATCTAACTAGATTCTAAAATCTTATATTTTTAATATTTACACATTTCCCCACATTTTTGTATCCAACGTTTTCGAAAATGGAGTTCCTCTGTCAATGATGCACCGAAAACTTAAACTCAAACACGTTTTCGAAATCGAAATTCCATGACACCAGCCAGAAACGTTTTGGGACTGTTTATGTAAATATTTAAAAGTTTCGAGGACGTTTCTTATGTCTTTTTTTTCACTTTTAGTGATGTTCTAATATTTTTTATAGATGCTAATTACATACTACGATAAATTTATATACCCGGATGTAATTTGTGGAATGATAACTCAGATTGGAACTTGTACATTATATATAATTTGAAGATACAAATATGTAATTGACGATACCTTTATAATATTTTTAGAAATTATGAATGTATTACTATATTTTTAATATTTACACATTTCCCCACGTTTGTGTATCCAACTTTTTCGAAAATGGAGTTCCCTGCTCGTTTCCCCGTTTCGCCGTATCCGCGGTTGACACTCAAATTTCTTGCAGAAAATTCTTAAAGTTCTTTTACTTTAAATAGCCTTAAAAAAATTAACGTCGATTTTTTTTTTTTTTTTACTTCTTTCAACCTTATCATTTGTGATATTTATACAAATTTTTGAAAGTGTGTATTTTTTTTCTATTTTTTAAAGTATGTATATGTGTGTGCGTGGATTATATAGATTGCTTGGTTTTTGTTGTTTAGATTCACAATGAGTCACCGGTGACACTCGTGCTTTGAAGTTTATAAAAGTTGGTGTTCTTATTTTTTGAAAGTTCTAGAATTCCCAAAAAAAATTGAAATTTTCAGCAGTTAATTTTTGAAATTTCCGAAATTTTCGATGCCTTTTGAAATTGGAAAGAATTTATAGCAATTTTTTTTTAACTGAAAGTGGAAGTGATTTTGTATTTTCAGAAGAAAAAAAATCTGAAGAGATCGACCACGATCCGTTCTGGAAACATATCAAAAACTCCAATGGAGAAAAAAAGTAGAAAAAACGTCATTTAATTCAACCAATCCCAAAAACGATATCTTTTTAAAATGGAATTTCCGATTTTCCAATAATTACATTTCGTTGATAAGAAATAGAAAAAATCAATTCTCGTCGATCACGATTCGAAAATTTCCAATCCCGGAACAAGTCCTTATATTCCAATTTCCGTTTTTTTGTTTTACTTTTCGAAATTCTCAAAATGGAATTGGAATTTAATTTCTCATTAATGAAAAATAAAATAAAGTTACACAAGTGTTAATTTGTGATCCGATCAATCCAATTTCCACCTTATGTCGGTTTTATGGTTGTGAACAAATATTAAAACAAATTATTAAATAAGAGAACAAATAACGTTTTGGTCAAAGTCCTTTTCATAAACATTTAATGCAGAAAGAGAAGTAGAAAACCCCATTTAATTCAACCAACCCCCAGAAAATGATACTATCTCTTTATAGGGCAAATTGCATATATGATATAACACAAGATAACTTAAATGCACATTATCAAAAAAAGTTTTGCAAATAGACCCATTTTCATGGTTTTTTTTTCTTAAAATACCCCTCGTGATATAATTTAAGTCATTTTCATCCATTAAACTCTAACTTTCCCAGTATTGAACAGTGACCCCAAATGTAACAAATATATCACATTCACCCCATTTTCACAAATGTTTAAAAAAATAAATTTGCTTTTTTCATTTTTTTTATGAACTTGTCTTTTTTCCGTCATATGTTTTTTTTAACAACCAACAAAATAATTGTACTGTCTGAGACCAACATAGTCAACAGCAGCTGATCGATGGCTATTAAAATTGAATTATGGGTCAAAAGTAGTTAATTGGTGAAACTGTGGCTAAATTATAGTTTAAAGGGTAAATTACAAACACCCCCCGAGGTATGGTCAAATTACAAAAATCCCCCTCTTGTTTGGATAATTACATCTACCCCCCTCAACTATGATTTTTTCTTACACATCCACCCTTATGGTGTCAAATTCAACATAATCATCTAGATTCCGTGAAATGTGCTCTAGTTTGTACTCGTTTTGTGTAAAAATACAGTTTCTGATGCACCAAAAACTGATATATACAAGCTAAAAATCACATATTATGATCATCTTGCTTCATAATGTAGAGTTTGAATAGGATAAAACGGGTACAAAGGTGATAATATTCCATATACTCTCGAAGATTCCACTAAATTTGAGGAGTTGAGGGGGTGGTTGTAATTATCCAAACAAGAGGGGGACTTTTGTAATTTGACCATACCTCAGGGGG